CCCCAACCCCTCCCCCTAGGAGCTCCGAAAGGAGCGCCCTGCTCTAGTATTATAAAAATTTGTGATTTCGTCGTCGTCAAAAAATGACGTCATCAACAATGTCAACTATAAACAAACTCGACATTGTTGTGGAACACAACAATGCCGAGTACAACACAACAATGCCGAGTTTAGTGTCTTACTCAAGATTTTAAAACGCAACCAACCCCCCCGAAGGGGGGTTTAGTTTAGTTTCTTACACAAGATTTTAAAACGTAACCAACCCCCCCGAAGGGGTTGGTTGCTTTTTAAAAACTTGACCAACCCCTCCGAGGAGCTCCGAAAGGAGCGTTCTGCCCTAGTTATTATTATACTACGTGACGTATTAGCTTATTTTCATTATTTAAAAGTAGTGTCACTTACACTATCAACATGTACGCCTCTCCTACTAACTTTTAAACCAACTGACGTATTTTCATTAAATTTAGTATGAACATCATATCATAGGAGCCTACCCCCTCCCCAGACATTTATACTTTTTAAATTTCTTCCATAAACAATATCAATGTGGTTGCCATGAGAACTTCGCTTAATATAGGCTCTTGAAATTGTGCGTAGTAAGGAGACACGTGAAATCTTTTGTTAACATTATTTTTCTTTATAGAACATCAAAGATTAACATTACATCTGCGCGAAGTCTTTATTTAGACTCCGATCAGATGATAATTAATCTTGAATTTTGTATGGAGAAATATTATGAAAATAAATCATGTACGAAACTGTGTTATATGTTAACAGCGACAAATATGACGACTGTTCAGATATTTGAGGTCCGTGTGTACAGAGCTGCACTAATGCAAATACGAACAGAAATAGATTAAAAAAGAGCGTGCCATAAAGTGTTACCAGAACTTTTTTAAATTATTATTCAGTAGCTTGTTTTGTTCATGTGATAAAAATGTATAAACCTACATGGAAGATCCGGGATAGCTGAGTCAGTATAGTAACTGGACGACTGGGGTTCGATCCCCGACGGGGTCAGAGGATTTTTTTTTTCTCTAGCCTCTGCGTCCAGACCGGCTCTGGAGCCCACCCAGCCTCCTATCCAATGGGTAAAGGGGGCCTGGGCTTGACGCTGACTATTCACCCTCATCTAGTGCCGAGATATAATGGACAGAAGCTATACGTTATCTCCCCCTAAACGCCTACATGGCGTATAGCGAGACAGCGTTGCTTCATACACACACACGGATGTTAGTTAATCTAAACATTTCCTTACAATCGGCTACATTCGTAAAGAAAGTTTCCATTTGCGCAGGTCACCGTAGGCGTCGTAAGAAATCTTTTTTAGACTGTCAATCAGCTTTTATCGCATTGCTGAATTATTATAATTACTTATATTGTTTGCATCATCACATAGGAAGATGTTTTAGTCTGTAGTTCTTATGAGATTTACTGTAAGAAACGCTGCTTTGTTCTGAATAACAAAAAATCCATACGAACTTTATCTGTCAGTTAGGATCAGTGTCTGATCCACGTAGGTGTGTTATAAGAGTTGTCTGCTTCGTGCTAGATGTAGAATCAGTTCATTCACTGTCTGTACTTACCAGCAAACGTTCTATCTCCTCCTTGTCCATGTTGCGAACTGATGGTTTCGCCGCGGTGTTGTTACATGGCTTGACTCCAATGCCACGTATTTTTAGTGCCACGGGCGAGCGCTGAATCACGGAAATTTTTTTCTTATGACGGCCTTTATGCGTGACAACTTTTGAAAGTACGAAGGTGTATTATGTTGAAAATCTTTTCTGCCTCAGACAACAAAGTTGTTTTATTATCGTAATATACAGATATAATAATAACTGAAACGACTTGTTTCGGCTTATCATAAGACAATCTTCAGTCTCCTGTCTCTCAATTAAATCAATGTGAAATTTGTTATTGTATTAAAATCTAGGAAAAAATTCGGTCTAAAATTATATATATCTATGTATATATAAAATAAATTTAAGTTACATTTAAAAGAAGCAAGTTACATTGACATTCCTCATTGTCGTCGTCAAAAAATGACGTCATCAACAATGCCAACTTATATTTCTTTATACTCGGCATTGTTGTGGAACACAACAATGCCGAGTAAACAAATAACGCTTCACAACAAAGAAATCAAAAACTATCAAGCCAGTCGCATTATCACTGCTCCAGAAGCAGCACATCGCCTCCTAACAGCGACATAAGACTATTTAAGAAATGAAGAAAAGTGAAAGAAGACGTTACCAACACCAACAAGGTAATCTGATACTAATAATAATACTCATTCAAGTCATACGACTCATTCCTTTCTGTCAACTGACTTTCCTTGCAGGTCTGAACATTGTGAATTGAAAGCCTTCAGCCCTCTGCTAAATTCTCGGAATTACGAAATGCACTGCTACCCATCCATGTGATCTGCTTTCGAGTTAAGAGACTCCTGAAAGAGAGAGCGTCCTTAACTTAAGACAGAAGCTGGTGCCACGCAGTTGGGTTTTATTTCACAGTAGTGTCTGTTATTTCTCACCAAGTACGTCTTTTGGGGGAACCTGAAAGTTAATTGCCGTGTATCTATCCTCAGCGAAATAAATACAGTCTAGGCCCTAATATCTTATAATTTTTGTTCTAATATTATACGCTCATAAACGTTTAGATCTCACAACTAGCTTCTTCCCTTCAAATTTTATAACTTAAATTTTGGATGTGGACGAGTACGTGTTTTCTGGTATAAATCTGCCGATGTTTAAAAAGTGCTTGCTGCTATCATCATCAGGGCGATGGGTCTTCTGTAATGTCGGGCAAATTTCTATTAGACTACACGGCACAGTCAACCAGAAGAAACCATTTTCGTAGTCGCCGCTGCGAAAACCTGAAACATCGCCATTTCGTGTACTGGCTTATATTTTGGTAAACACGTAACAGGAATTACGTATTGTGACCTTATGGCGCATGTAACCAGGCGGGATTATATTCGCATATGAAATTGAGTACAAGTTTTGTGCTGGCTGAACAGAATTATATGTACGCTACTGTGTTTAAATTTCTTGATTTTATTCACATAGGATGTTAGGATGTTCAAACATGCATGTTGGACGCTACAAAGTCAGAGCCCGTTTGATGACAAAATCTTTATAAATGTTCAATATTTCGTCGAATCGATAAATAGATGAGGCCTGATGAGCCCTATGTTTTCGTAAGAGAACTATGAGGAGTGTCAACTCTATTTGCAAAATGTCACTGCCGATCTTCTTTCTTTCTTTCTTCTTTTTTTTTTCCTTCCCCCCCTGTAATTTCACGTCCCACTCTTGCAGACAGACGTTTTAAACCTGTACAAATCTTGAATTGGGAAAGTTACACAGCAATATTCTACGATAACGCTTACCGCTTGGCTCTTTTAAAAAAAATGCATAAAATTGTTATTATTATTAAATATTATTAATACAAGTGGCCAGTAGGACGTATAGTAGTGCTAGCATTATTTATAGGCATAAACACATTTTAATAATATCATTCTTCTTTTGTGCGGCCATTTCTGTCTTGTAGAATTCTGTGATGAATTATCAAGTTTCAAAACCTGATCACTCTCGTTTGACGACCGATTTTCATTAAATGAGCTAATGGCAACGGCTCATTGAAATTTAGCAGTGAATGATTTAATTCGTGTCAACATATCTTACGTTTTCCGTCCCTTCACCATTTTTGTATTTTTATTTCGTTCTATTCTTTCTACCGTATTCCTTTCCAATCCCTTTAAACTTCAAACAACGATGAAAACTTTGAATCGACCCATATTAGAAGTACGCTACTTCTAAAAGTTGCCTAATGGTAGCAGTTGAAATTCAGCATCATCAGATGTGTTCAGTGAGTTTACTATCAATAAGAATACAACATCGTAACATTGTCTATGGTTATTAACTTTTATAAATGTGACACATACAGAAACTAAATGGAAATATAACTAGAATTTTCATTCATTATTGACGATTAATTTATAATTTAAGAACAACTTATTTTTCTCGTAATAATTTTGCATACTGCACGTTTTCAGTAATGTCACTGTATGATGTTTGACTTCTTGCTTTGTAATTTTGAAGTTTGCTGACTGTTGTAAGTTTGTTACTTTTCTTGTAGTCCATTCGATAAATACTAAGGTAGTGCCTCAATAGAGGCAATTATTTTTAATCCATAATCAAACTGTAATTCCTTGACATATAAACTTTATAGTTGGTGTAGCATCACTAAATGAAGCAAGATAAATATTTTCAGGTGTAACCAACAAGACATGGTCAGATGTAGATGATGTTATGACTCGTTCAGACTGTGACGTCATGTATGGACAGCTGTATAAGGAGAAGGGCAGGTACAGACAGCAGGATGAATGCTATACAGGAAAATCCAACAGCAAGAATTTGAAACAAATTTTGTCAAAATTTAATACACCAAGAAGAAATCCTAAGAGGATGGCTGCTACCGTCAGCTTGAAGAGGTTCCAGTCTTATCCCTTTGTCAATACCAAAAGGTGAGACGACTCGCAACAGAATGATTTTTATTTCAGTATAAATATTCAGAAGACGGGAACATGTCATGATTATTTATGTCGTTTTTAGTCATTTGGTGTTGAGATATGAGGACATGAATTTTGTGTTCAAGCAATGTTAGATACTTATTTATTCTCAAGAAATAAAAAAAGATGTTCAGTAGATACTTGTGAACACTAAGATTTAATATTACGAACATGAGTTGGATTTGTAAGATGTACTAATGGGCTTTTTTGGTATTTGTAATTTAAAGTGCCAATTCCATAATCACATGGTGTGCCCCATTATCACAAATGGATTTTATTTTACCTAATTATGCTGGTATACCAGGGATGTTATACTAGAAATAAAAGTGCCCGGAGCAGTTGTCCACAAGGACTTCTCATCGTTACCTAATAATAAATTCATTGTATTAAAAGCGTAATTGAATGAAGATTAGCCCATGCACGTACTTAAAAAGCCTGAAAGTTTTGTCTCAAGTAAGATTTAAGTTCTGATGGGCCATTATAATACATTATTTTTACAAGCTCTAGAGAGACGTAGTCCATATCTTAGAGTATTTTAGAACTTGGAGCTCAAACTGTCCATGGACACGGGATTTTCCATCTGTGTCTTTTAAAATATGCCAGGGAGACACCCCAGCACTAAAAAGAGTTACAGAATGCCTCACTGGATTATTCTGGTTCAATTACAGCCCTGGGCAAAATAATTAAGTTTGCATCTAGTACAGAAGATTTCACCGCAAGTAAGAAAGTTTGATTAAAATGTAAAAAAAGATTTCGTTTTGTTTTTGTAAGTGTAATGATATGTGCAGATAATCATTTTAAATAATAAAATAGCATGATGTGACTTACTGTCATGGAAGGCACATGATAATATAGCATTTCTTGTTTCTGAAGATCTAAGAAGATATTGCGTCGTTCTGTGAACAAGCGCTGTAGAACTGATCTTTCCGAAGAACTGCTAGTCTCTGGTCCCGCCAGACGACTGGCTCCATCTGCCGTTTCTTTGAACCAACGCAGTTTGAACACAAATCACAAGCCGCGAAATACTAAGGTGATTCTCAGATGACCATACTAGGCTCTCAAAATGCGTTAAAACTTATTTTCTTCAGGGGTTATAATTGAGTCTACATATTTGACGCATCTCATGTTAAACTCTCAGCCCAGAAACTGGTTATTCTGACTAATTTTCATGGGTTTCCTCAGTCCCTTCTGGTAAATGTTTGGATACGCCATAACAGCTTACTTCCCACTTCACCATGCACAACCAACCAACCATTTGAAGTTTTAATCAATAGAATTCATAATGAATTCCTAAATAATTCAAGGAACACACAAGGAGAGTGACTAGATATGTAGCACATATGACGGTAATAAAATGTATGGTATGGAAACATCAGTGCCGGGAATTAGTGTTCAAAGGAAAATAATATTGAAGTCCACCATTACAAGATCAAAGAAAATTTAATTAAGTTGACTGAGTAAATAATCTTGTGACAGGCATATGTTATATTAATGGTAGTGAAGAACCTCATAATAGTCGTGAAGGTACTATTTCAGCTTTTTACTTCAATAATTAAAAAAAATCATTGTGTTTAAATTATGTCATTACATTACATAATATTATTACGTTAAAATATGTTTATTACATAAAATATTTTTATCACTGAGTGTAAAATGTTTGCCTACATCATGCAAAGCACAATTTAAAGATGGCTTCCTCCAGCAGTTTAGAGCGAGCAGATGTTCAGTTACTCAACACACGGATCGTGAAGGCTGTGTTCTGGAGCCACCTACAACACAGGATGCCTTTCAGATGAGGGAGTGGCCGGCAGAGGGTATGCATGAGCGACCTGTATGGCCTGACCCTCGCCTTGAGACACCCAAATTCCCATCTTCAGAACTTGAGATTTCTGTTCACAATTCACTTCATGCCGTTATGGCATTTGCTGCTCAAGTTGGCAGAAATGTCTCAGGTATGTTGCCACCAGGTGCAAACCCAATTGCAGTAAATAAATAATAATAATAGTGTATTTGTTACTTCTGTTGGAAAACTGTGCGTTCATTCACCCCCTATCCTTTAAGGCAGGGGTGCCAACCCGCGGCCCGCGGGCCGCATGTGGCCCGCCTTGAACATTTTTCCGGCCCGCGAGATTCATCACACTTTTACAAAATATATTTATATTTAATTTTTAGTGCTATATATTTCTTTACAATGTACGCTTAGTATCATTATTATTATATTATCTATGTTTACATGTAAGAATAATAGTAAACACAATAATAATAACTCATTATGTTTCAATTTTTCACTCCAAAAAAATGTCTATAGTGTATCTAAATCTAATATGGGGATATATAATTTTATATGTGGCCCGCGGAGTTATGATGCATTTCCAAAGTGGCCCGAAAGATCATTTGGGTTGGCCCAACCTGCTTTAAGGTTTCTTAAGTAACAGGAAGTACTAAAAACAGTGATGCCAACTATTTTTTAACACGCGCCTCTGTGCGAAAATTCATGTTGCTTGACACAACAAGACTAGCAGAGAAATATGTTCTGTACTCATTTTCTTCTGCTGATTTAAAATAAATATTTATTTCCAAGATATGCAAAACAGAATAAACTTACAAGTAGCCGTAAAATTCATGAGTCTCTAGATTTATTTTTATTTTATTTGTGATTTATATAACCACACTTTCAGTAGCTCAGATTAAATCATGCTGAATAAGAGGATGAATGGAAAATGATGAATTTGGAAGGAAGTAGTCATGGCCTAATTTAAGGTATTATCCTGGAATTATTCTGGAGGGACTGATGAAAACCACAGAAAGCTCAGTCAAACTAGCCAGTCCTCAAGCCAAGGTTCAAACCCAAAACCTCCTGAATATAAAACACGAGTGCTAACCCCTAGACCATGAAGTTTGTTCTTGAGTTTCTGAAGAAGTAAAAAAGAATAATTTGGCAAAGCTGGATTGTCTTTAGTATGATTGTTTTATGAAACATCGAGTCTTTCATTAGATACGAGTAAGTCTGCATTATTTTCAGAGGGTGATACTAAACCAATCAATACTTATGTCTGCCTAGATGATGAACTTGGCGATGTCACATTTACAGAGGATCAGCTGAATGACTTAGAAAACCTGGTGATAAACACAGGACTCCTGTACTGTGCCGTGTGTTCGATATCACAGAAGGCTTTGGCAGATTACATTAATAACATGTCAGTGGAAAGCGCTTTGCAGTGGTTTGAGGAAGCAGAATAATTTCACAGCATTTCATACTTTAGTTATTTTATAATTTTACAATATTTTACAATAGTTCACTCTAAACAACAGATTTCCATATCGATTAATAAAATTTTAATGTGTTACATAAACATTATATTGATTTGTGTTTGTGCAGTTTATTTTTATGACATGAGACACGACACACACTCTTCCATTTTCAGTGTTATACTTTATGATGAACTCCAAAAATGTATTAATTATCTTACAAATTGTTATTCTTGATTATTTGGGTATAATGACCTCTTTAATAATACTATTGTAAATATAAAACTTGATGGTTAATTCACAACATTAAGATATATAAATATTTTTACTGTAAATATAAAATTTAATGTTAATTTCACAACAAACTATATAATTCTGTTCTAAACTATCATTAAGAATTTCTTGAATGGCAGCTTTATAAGTGACAACAAATTTTAATATTTATGGGCTGTAGTTAAGCATGCACACCACACTTTGCAATTCGTGAAAATTTGAATATAGTGTTTTTATTATAAAGGTGTTTACAAATCTTGGAATTTTTCACGAACTTACAGCAGAGGATCTAAACCTTCTCAGACCTAGGCAAATAATTTTCTTTAACCAAATAAGTCATTGGTGCGATAGTTAGTGTTGGTTTTGTTGAAGTAATCTTTCAATATCAGGTTTAGTAACTGTTGTTGCTTTTCACATGCATCCAACAAATGTTAATTAGTGAATGTGTCCAGAACAAATAAATGTTTGCATGATTTCCCATATTTATTCCAGTCAGAGTTTTCTCAGTCACTTCAATGCAGGCTACAACCTGGATTCCGAGCAACAACACGTATCTTTTATGTTTTCCAACTTATCCAGACTGACTCTGTGGTTCACTTAGCTGCTGTCCAGTGAGCACATACACGCTCCTTCTCTTGGTGAATATTAACTGAAGCCTCAAGTGGACCATTTGCCTGTATCTTGTACCATAGTTAAGAATACATGGAATTTTATTTCTGCTGCCCCATACATCTTATGGCATGCAGTTTGAGCAAATTAACAATATTTTTTCTTCCTACAGGCAAATTAGTTGCGTCCTTTAACCCACAATTCAAATCACCAACCATTATCATCTCGGCATTTCTCATTCCGCAACATTTAAATTTGATATAGTTTTGTTAAATTAACTTAGAAGTGATAAAATATTGTTGCCAAAGTGCCATTTCAAAGTTACAGAAAATGTTGGCCATATAGGACATCTGTTGTGAGCCGGGATAGCTCAGTCAGTATAGTGACTAGCTACGGGCTGGATGACCGGGGTTCGATCCCCGACGGGGCAGAGGATTTTTCCCTTTAGCCTCTGCATCCAGACCGGTTCTGGGGCCCACCCAGCCTCCTCTACAATGGGTACTGGGGTCCTTTCCCGGGGGTAAAGCCGGCCGGGGCGTGATGCTGACCACTCACCCCCATCTAGTGCTGAGGTCAAGGAAGAGAGGAGCTATACCTCCACTCCCCCCAAGCGCCTTTACGGCACGTAGCGGGACAAACTTTACTTTATAGGACATCTGCCAGTATGTCTCATAGAATTGTTGAACATAAATCAAGGGGGGATTCTCATTTACAAAATTTGACCACTCATTTCTCCCTACTGAACTTCTAGACTTGCAAACACATGAATGTGAACTCTACAAACTATTTTCTGGACATTATCCATCATCCCAGATTAAATAAAACACGACCACGAGTTTCACTTCTGCTAAGTGGAGATAGGGATTAGCTCTATCACTTGTTTTTTACCTGAAGACAGAGACAGACTCGAATCTCCAAAACGTCATGTTTTATTTAATCTGGAATGGCAAATGATGTCCAAAGAATAGTTTGCTTCAACAACGCAACATTGTCACAAACCTTCAGAATTGAGTGAACTCAACAGTTATGCATAACTACACTGTAGATAATGGATCTAAAATCCTGTGAAATATATGAACTACAAATGGAGATTTCATTTCGGCCTGTGATTTTGGAAAGAATCTTCTGCTAAGTCATGCTCATTATCTTGTGTTGGCTGTCACTTTGCAGTTCCACTGCTGTTGAAAGCAACACGATTTAGTGACTTAGATGTAAAATTGTGTATTAACGTGTCAAAGAAAAATATTGACCATGGACATAGAAATGTTACCGTCCTCCAGGTTGGGGGTTGGTCGCAAGGCTAACAACCTTGCACCATAAAAAGGAAGATGTTTCAAAACCTCAATCAAAGTCTCGGATAGACGGACCTAACAGAGGACCGAATGGAAGAGGAGAATTGAGGAGGCCATGGACCGAATACGGACCGGAGAGCCATAGAAGAAGAAGAAGATAGAAATGTTACAATTTTTCAGTACATTGTAAAACCATCATATGATCCAGTGTGATTATAATCTGGTAACTCAGCTTACCCAAACAATAATGTCATTTTATATTTTGAGAAGGGTGGGAGATAGATTGTCTAAGCTGAAAAACAAAACAAGAACCTTGACCCCTCCGAGGGTTTTAGATCCACATGCCATACAATTTGTTTGGCGTGCCGCAAGTCTCTCGCTTAGTTTAGGAGTGAAGGCACTACTACAAGTGTAATAAGCTAAAGTTTATTAGAATTAATATGACTTTTAAGTATTAATAGCATTTGCATAGCAAAACATCAGTAAGACTATTCATTGTATCAAAGTAACAAGAAACTCTCATGAGCCTTGTAGTATATCTTACAAACGTTTTCAAAGCTGGCAAATATAATTCCTAATTTTCTTAAAATGTAGATACACTATCCAAACATATAAAGTTAAAATTAAAATACTTAATAATCTATATTTGTACGGAATCAGCTACTAGTTTATCATAGCATAACGTTAACAACTTATGTTTGGACAGTTCAAGTCTGTCTGGTTACACGGTGTTCTGACTGACGTTTTCCATGATTTTCCTCAGACTTTCCATGATGATGCTAGGTTAGAAATAGGTCATAATCACATCTTTTCAATTCAAAACTCACTCACCATTCATGAGCATCTTTTCAATTCTATATAACCTCAATACCTGGAAGTTTTCAGGTGTAACCTCAAAGGTACGTGATATAAGCATGTTGACGTCTTACAACATGTACAAATTGCCATAAGGTACACACTGCTGTGGTGTTGATGAAACTGAGTAATGAATAAAATTTGCATGGTTCTAGATTGTTTAGCAAGACCTGTCATGACCATAAACTGAAGGGCATTACTGTTCATTTCATATGTGACAATAACATACTAATACTGTTAGAGGTATACAGTAACATAATTCACTAGCAGTACGACCTCGATTGGCATGGATTCTTTTAATATTTTATGAAATTATTGGAAGTGATCACATAAACACATAAAAACTGGAAAATATTTCCTCAGAATAAGGTGAATAACCTGCATGTGCCTTTGAATATGTCACTTGCTATGGATGTGTAGTATATCAGTAAAACAATTTAACAGAAAAATTATTAGACTCTTTATAGTCATGAATGTGAGAATTAATGTTCAGAATTTCGCAGACAAGTTAAGTCATAGTTACAGAAATAAAAAAAACTGTGTCCTATTTTCTTAATATAACATTTTTATCTCGTTAAATTTGCTAAAAAATAAAAAAAAATTGTACAGGACAAAGTTAAGGAACTTAAATGATACATATTTTATCATCATATTTTGAGGGATAACAAACCACTGTAATAAATTTTGATTTTGTTAGAAAGAACATCTGTCTGCTGTTTGTGAGGGATAAATCAGGTAGCAGTAACTTGTAATGAATTACTAAGGATGAGTGATGTAAGGTGGATGTGATGGGGGCTTACTCCTTGCAATCACCACACCATCTGGTGATATCCCTCCATGGATCAGGAGCATGCACAGTGCAAGAATTAGTATAAATAGGAAGAACACCACACTAATGGCGGCCCTGCGTTGTCAGACTATCTCATCCTCTTCTTTATATCTGAAATATTTCAGTCATGTAACCGACAGAAATATATTGTCTTCATATTTTAATAAATCTATAAACTTAAGGTGGCACTCAGTTAATTTTTATTGGCCATGTGTGTCATCTTGTAGGTTTAGTTTTTCTGTAGCGTACCATTAAAAATTGAACACTGGGCTCATTTTAATATAGTAAATGATGGATTTAGTCGGGAGAGACAGCAATGAAAAGACCGGAAATAAAGTCTGGTTGGCAGCCCAATAGTATGGTGATTCAAATCATCTATTCCTATATAGTGAGAGGTTAATATTTCTAATGACTGTTCAAGAAATTAATTGACCATGAACATATTTTGTCACAATAAAAAAATGCTACTAATATCAGATTTTCAATATCTACAAAAATTTTTGCTATTCTAATATTAAGAGTCTGATATTACTATCATCCACTACATCAGCGGTTTCTTCCCTTTAATGACTCGTGAATTTATAATAGAGCAGTGGGCTTTCCAAGGACTAGTTCCTTACCTATTTCACATTATACAGCACAAATAATAGTCTACAAATTTAATTATAAAAAGCAAAAACATATTTGTTTACAGAATAAACTGGTATTAAAATCGAGGACATGTCATAATCAGCCATAACACATATTCACAATGAAATATTTGTGCGGAGGAAAATGAAGTAATTTTAAACATGCAAACAACTCCATCTCATACCTGATCCTGTCATTTTCTCTGGAAGCGTTTTCACCCTTCCCTTCTCGTCTGAATTTTCGCTGTGTGTGTGGTGATGTGTGATGATGCCTGTCATGTGATCTCTCACGATTTTCATGGCGGTTTGTGTGTGCTGGTCGCAAATCAATCCTGAAGAAAATTAGGCAAATGTTTGAGATCTGGTCTTAAAAGTTTAACGAAATGTAAGAAGCAAGCTGCATAATATAGGGCAGTGGTCCCCAACCTTTTTGTGCCTACGGGCACATTTGAGAGTTTATGAGATCGTGGCGGGCACCAACCAATCAACAAAGCGAAATTTTCTTTTCTCTGGACAAATAAGATATGGACACCAAATAATATGCAAAACAACACGACGTTTAATGATACAGGAAACCATGCAATCAAAAATACGTAGTTTCATAAGTACAATTATTATTACTCAAGTGGGAAGTTAGTGTGCTGCATTTTATCGGTCAGTTTTTCAAATTTGGGAGTGTAGGATGATGTTGCTGCTCGCAAACAATCGTCAAGATGGGCGTCAGTAAGTCGAGATCTGCGCTATGATTTTATAATGTTCACGGTTGAACGGCCTTCATTATTCAGTATAACCTCTTTCCGTAACAACGCGGGCACCCAAGAAAAGACTTGGCGGGCGCCGCGTTGGGGACCACTGACATAGGGTCTTGTATTGTAATACCAATCTCATCTTCTTGTGATGCATCTTATTTTTACAAATGAGGTTTTGACATCCAGCCTGTTATAAAGTAACCATATTACTGTGTTAAGTTGTTTGTTACATATAAATTTAGCCACTTTCTTTTCTTTATATAAAATTCATAGGATGAATACATCATGATAAGGTTTGTATGTCCTGCATATTTAATCACCAGAAGAACTGCACAGATATTGGCAAAGTTTGGTGCAGAGGGTCTACACTAAAAGTTGTTCAGAAAATGTTATTTCTTTTTTATATTTGTCCGCATCATGGAACTTAAATATATATGTATAAATTTTCTCATAAAAGGCTGTCAAACAAACAGTTTTTGCATGACATAAAATGCACATTTTATAAAGTTTTAAAACTTTAATGTGAAATATATTGACAGTTTATATTTAGTGAAATTCAATTAGAAATCTCAACAACAGGTCAATATTTAGCATTTATTTCAGTTTCAAGAGTGAAGCATCTGATGAACATAAAAGTAAATAAGAAATTTTAATATTTTTATGTCTCTTCTACATTAGACAACATTGCTGTTTAAGTAGATGGTTGTCTTCTAGGTCGTAGCATCACGTATTCTGGAGATGGCAAAGGCCTCTGAAACGTTGGTAAACTTCTACCAGAGTACAGATCACTACTACTCGTTGCCATGAGAACCTCAAATCCTACTTGCTGTCTTAAAGTTTATCAGTTTCCGAAATCTTAAGTCTGAAATGTTTTCCTACAGTACAACTTTTATCACTCATTTCTGCCGTGTGTTCAGCTCAAGATGAAAGAAAATGATTTCATCCGCTATTTTACATTTTGTCTTTTTAATTTGTTTATATCATTAAACGGCCAGTGTAATCAAACCAGACCACACCTGCTGGTCATCGTGGCCCGAGTTCGCTGCTTTCTGATGTCCTCCTTCATGGAGCCATGTGAACTGGATGCGGTGGAATAGCCTGTGTCCTGTCGGCACCTTCTCCCACTGCTTTTCTTGTCTGGAACTCTGTATATATACAAAATTTTGTGTTCAGACGACAACTAAGATCTTGTAACTGAATTTGAATGCCACTTTTATGGGCCATTTAGTGCTGATACATAAGATCTAGGTATTTACTAAAAAGTACAGAGTGAGCACAAAAGAACTTTACAGAAAACAAATATGATGTACTTGACACCCTCACCACTCAACAGAAAAACTCTCAAGTTTTGTTTCAAATGACCAGGTGATTGTTGTTTCTCACCTCTGCTAGAAGCCACTAGTTTTGATAATGGCTATCCTACAACACAGGAATTGGTGTGTTCTGCAGTTAATTAAGAAAGAGGCTCTAACAGCTGTGCAACATGCATTTCTCACACAATTTCACATGAAACCAAACAGTCGAGTATCCATTTATTCCTCGTACAAGAGATTCGATAAGGAAGGGTGCTTTTGCAAAGGCAAAAGCCGTGGCAGGACATTCTACTCAAAGTTTGGGACAAGTTAGATTATTGTCTCCACATCTATTGTGTGACTTGTGGAGCACATATTGAGTGTCTCTAAGTATGCTGAATTTGTTTTTTGTATAATTTTTAAAGTGTAATGTTCTTTGTGCTCACTTTGTATTTCACTGAGTAGAAGAAGGTGTATCTAGACACAGAGTCATTATAGGAGGGAAGAATAATGGGAATTTTAGTTTTATATGTTGGCAGTTTCTTGTTAATCATTGTTTCTGACAATCGGTTGGTTCGTGTTTATGTTATTTTGATAAGTTTTGCGTTTGCAAAAGTACGTTTTTGTACTTATTTCTTATTTTAGTTTTTTAAATTTTGTTCTGTTATCATGGCTTGATGTTATCATATTTCTTGCTCATAATCCAATAAGATCCTTTTTTTTCTTTTGTGAGGAATGCATAAACGTGTCAAGTGAAATAGACGTCTTTTGTTTTAATACATCATAATCTAATTTGTTTTAAGAAACTTAAATATACTGTTTTTTTTATAGACTACATCATTGCCAGCCCTTTTGGGCAGTGGGGAAGCAATAAAGTCAGCCAAAATGTGAAACTAATAACTTGTCTATATCTAGTTTTGAGGCTATGAGTTGGTGAACCTGTAATCTTGAATATCGTGCGTGTATTGTCACTAATATCGAAATGTATTGAGATACGAATTGTGTCTATGGAAGATTTACCTGGCTCGTTGCTTTCGTTTCGCATTTCGGACTTCTTGAACCTTGAGTTCCAGCTCTTCCTCAGACGGTTCAGGTACAGTTTCACTCCTGCTCGTGTCATTATCATCGTCATCATCATCATAAAATTCTTCTTGATCCGCTCGCCTGCCAAGCTGGAACAAGTTCCACAGGTCAGCTCCGTACACTTAACGACATGAAAGAAAATTTGCGTTTTAATACGGCAATACACGCCACAGTTTTAATCATTAGCTGTTTGATATAACGGACTGCACCAAAGATTCGGACAAGTAGTTACCAATCGTGCTTCGTATCCGGAGTGTCCCGATTTCAGATATCGGTCCGGACACCGGCTATCCTGGTTTAGTGTGGTTTTCTATAAAATGCAGAGACGACATCCATTCCGCGTTTAACCCTTTAAAGCCGAAGATCTTTTAAGTAATATTTAAGAATTTAGTCCGTTCCGCAAGTAAAACACCATACTTCAGCATTACAAAGGTAAGTCGGTTGATACAGTTAAGGTAAATAATCGCTGTTTATTCTGAGAATCATATAAAACAATAAATATAAACTGCAGAGTTAACTGATTGTTCATTGAAATTTGTCAACTGTTGCAAAATTCCCGTGTAAAGGCACTAACCTTGTAGCGCTCTGGGACGGGGTACACCTCGGACAGAGATATCACGGAGATGCCTTGTGTTTCATCCCTTTTTCGGGTAGTAACTCTCGCCTTTTTCTTTTTCTCCACTCTTTTCTGCTTCCTGGTTTCTGAATGCACCACGTACAGCCTGCAAAAATTTCGAACCGAGTTCAGTGAGCAGTGTGTCTCCACTTAACAGAAGGTTACTGAAGTTAAATTAATATTATGCGTTATCACCAAAGCTACTGAAATGGTAGCAGTGAGACTCCGTAGCGGAGTTTTCTTGTGTGCCCTGCCCGCTCCTGGCGAGCGTAAGCCTCTACTAGCTGGCTGTGCATTTTATCTGATAGGTGCTGCCGTGTTGCTGTGTTCCAATGTACTACTGAGACACTGAAATATGACGTAAGACTTCATTTTTTACTTTTTAAAAGTGCTGGCTGGGCTAACAATGCTAAAGACGTTGGCAAAATGTGTTGTTAACTTTATATCATAGGCTTATATAGAACTACGTTTGTTCGTTTGGGATGGTTCGTATAAAACATCGATGTTGCGCGAGAGAGACGTTGAACCTTCAGCTGTTGTCATTCCTAAAATTAGTTGGCTGACCTGTAGAGCTGCAGAACAATGACGAGTGTGTTCTTGCAGGTGAAGAACACGTTCATGTAGCTGATGATGCGGTAGTGTACAATGAGTAGCAGGCGGAACCCCAGAAATGGGGCGTCCTGCAATAAGATGTTGAGGACGATGCCCCACACGTCGATGGAGCAGCAACCAGCGCAGCAGTGCTGGCCAGCCCCGTCCCTGCAAGGTCGATTTTCATGAAACTAGGTAGGAACGTAATTGCTTAGATTTGAAGTTTTCACGGTGACGAAGATTAGCATTTATACCGGGGATACCAACATCGACATAAAATTCAACACTTTAAAAAGCGTCAAATAAAATATTTGGACTAAAGTGAATTGGATTATGCAGGGGATGAAACAATTACATATCGAGAAAATTCGTCAACTGTATGCCTAGTCTTTTATCGTGTTGTTAAATCATAACGGTTACGTTGCACTGTATAAGAAAAACAAGAAATGAGTATCGAAATTTGGTGGATAAACTTATTGGAATACCGAAAATGTAAGGAATAATAATATAAAATTCATTGTTAGTGATGAATAATGGGATTCAAATGCAGGAGTGTGTTGTAGCGGAGAAAAACATTGGATTGTGACACTAGATAATTGTTTAGATCAGGGTGGTCCAACTTTTTTCCTTTCTCAAGCCAGAATAGTTTTCCTCTTGGACCCAAGGGCCAAGAAACCCCTACTGTCAGTTTTTGGCATTGTCGTTATATTTAATAATACTTCTTCAGAGATGACAAATTACCATTGCATATTCCGAAATATAAATGTTATTTAAATGTGCACAAACTACTATGGAGTTGTATGTTATTTTAAATTTGCTCCTGCAACAGGTGGTGTCTGATACAGTAATAATTTGTAAAAGTAGAACGTACATCTTATGCTTTTAAAGTCAATGGCTTTAGGTGAGAGCACTGAGCAGAATGTTCTTTTACCAGTGACGGAATATCAACTTCTATTTTTGTTTTTACTAAACGAAGGGTTGATCTAACGCGTACCGACATGTGGCATTTGTACGTAAAGCAGCAGACGAGATGAGAATCACAATTTTTTTTTCCAAATCCGTAAGAGAAAATAAAATAAATTGGTTTGTGCTAACTAGTAACAAATTAACAAATATTTTCGCGGGCCGCCAGTTGGACCACGCTGGTTTATATATACAGAACGTTCACTGATAAAGTTGAACGCACTGTCAATTCTCGGCTCCCGGCAGAAACTGTGACAAGGTTTTCCTAATAGTTGGCCATTATCGGGAAAACCTTGTAGCTCTTGTCTGTAAGTCATGCAGTTCTAGCCAGTACCCTCAGAGTGACAGTTACGTTCATCTTTATCAGTGAACGCCCTGAAAACTGTGCATGTTATTGAACATTGTCATAAACAACATGGCGGATGAACCATTTTATCCAGTAGGTAAAAACTGGTGTGATAAGTCGTAACAGCAGACGAACGACCTAATTAATGGTTTATTGTATGATTGTTTAATTACACTATGTGTCTCCGAAAACCATCGTTTCATGATTTTAATAGACAGATTAATGAATTAATGTTTTTGCCACTGATGATGACCTCTTGAGGTCGAAACGCGTTTGGCACAGTGTTACTTTATGTGTAAACACTTTTGTTTGTGTGCATGATTTTATATATCAATACAATGGACGGTATGCAAGGTTTTAAGAAACAAAATGATTATGATGGAACTGAAACGTTCAGTTTGGAAGTTTTACCGAACACCTTTTTGAAGGGACATCAACAGCTGATTAAGAAGCATCGAAAATTTAATGAAAACAAACTTCTTTTTTAAAAAAGGAACTGTCAGGAATTACGTTTCGTGGATTTTGGTGTTCTGAAGGATAAACCGTTATGAATCTATAGGATTTGAGACTTTCGCGGCGAGTACAATGTTCTGATGATGGGGACAGAGTTTGTTCCCGAAACGTCGGTTTACTACAGTAACCAGTTGACGCGGCTGATTTCCCGAGAAGATTTTATTGATCGTTATGAATCTATATTTATTTTAACCAAAGTCTTTCTTTTCCGTCTGGAAAGGGTTTTAGAAACGACGGTGCAAGGACTACTTCGAAAGTTTTTCATAATTATTCAAAATATGTTTTGAGAGGCCTCGGCGATGCAGGTCTGGACCTTTTACATACTGGAATCGCGGGTTCGAAACCCACCTCAAGGCGTAAGAATAAAAAGTTTTGCGTACTATTGCGTATCACTTGGAAAGGGTCCAGTCCCTAATAACAGTGAAATTTTGATAATTTACAGTATAGTGAAGTATTTTTGTAGAATTTATCATCGCAAAGGCATGTGGTAGCCGGGTAGCTCAGTCAGGAGTGCGTCTCCCACCCCAGGCAGTTCCTTTATTCCTGTCTTTTGTGATTAAATTTGCCGTAGACCAATGGTTCTCAACCTGTGCCGCGAGGTTTCGAATGGAGGAATTATTACTTAAAATTGTGTATATTTTAGTAATTAGTTAAGGCATAACAATAAACTTTTATTTGAGACCTGGAAATGAATATTAGTGGCAATGGTGGTAGTAGTTACTGTTGGCGGTGTTACAATAGCCATGAAGATTCCTCACCCAACTCCTGGTCGCAAATGAATTCGTAAGGACTCTGCTAACAGGATCAACCACAGAGCGTAAATATTTACGTTTGTGTACAAAGGTTCTGTGTCGCTCAGTTCAGATACATGTTGTGTTGAGTGTAGTGATCGTTGTTGGAAATAATTTCCTTTTAAAAAATAATTATTAAAAGTTGTGCCCCTGAAAATTAACATTTGTTACAACAAAAACCTGACAGCAAAAAATAGGTGTACTCTTATTATAAACGTTAATTCTATGTTCTAATTCTAATGTGCAAAAAAAATCCAATCAGGCACCAAAAGGATGAGAACCACTGTATTACTGGATACTGGGAACGACCCGTTCTTCAAGTGCCTGAGCACTGCGGGTCCCAACTTTATCGTTGATTTTGATCTATAGACATTCGGTTGGACTCCTTGGATGAGGGATCGGCCCTTCGCAAGGTCTCTACCTGTACACAGGATAGCACAACACAGAAAAACGCAGGCAAACATCCATGGCTTGAGTGGGATTCGAACCCACGGTCCCAGCGACCAAGCGGCACAAGGCCCACGTCTCAGACCGCGCGGCCACTTCTGACCCCCACGACTGTATTACACCGTAATATTTACTTCATGTCTTATTATAACCTCTTTATGACATAATTTGGTTTCGGTAGCTTATCATATTCCAGCAGGAAAGGTATTTTTTCTGAAGACAGAAGCACAGCCAGGCCCCGAAACGTAGTGGTCTTATTTCAGAATACTGAAGGATGGATGAACTTCAGAAAACTAAAAACATTGAAAATTCGCTTTTGTTGTGTTTGGAAATCCAGAATCCTACGACGAAATGAAACGTAATTTCTTGACCGCCGGACTCACGAAATGTTTGTGGTCGTGGAGAGCCTCCCCTTGCGACTCTTGGTAGCCGTCAGCACTACAGTGAACTGCAATAGGCTCCAGGACCAGATGGCCAGCGTCAACAACACCAGGATCGGCTCCTGCGCTATTTTCTCGTCCTTGAAAGAGTCGAAGAACTCGATTATGTCGGCGGCGGTGCCGATGTACACTAGCAGTAGCTGGGACAGTTGGTCTCTCGTCAGGTCCCCTGAGGAAACATTTCACGGATTTGCAGAAAACTGATTTCAGATGCATGTAAAGATTGTACTGATTAGATTATCTGGTTTTAAGATCTGAGACTTCCAAGGCGGCGAGGATGATAATGATGATGATTATATTCTTCAGGAGTTTTGTGTAGACTCATTAGTAGATGTCATCTTTTCGGAGAAACATACTGTCTACATCTTCAGACCTGAAACGTTGGCACTACCGACGAGTCTACACGGCTTCAAAACCAAGAAGAACAACATTAGATTATCTGTTTATTTGACTAATCCGTTATAATTTGCGTATTATAAAGGAATCACCTTTAGGTAGCATCCAGCGTCCTATGATGAGGATTAACATGAGAAACTGTTCGATGACGGTGACCCACGTTTCCGTGTCGATCTGAAGATCGTGAGGTAGCAGGTGACCCTGCAAAGATCATTCAGTAACACCAACGGAATGTTAAAAGTATCTTAACCACTTCAGTACTATATGCACTGACCCCCATGATCTTGTCGAGGCCCCTCAGGTCGTCGATCGAGAAGGCGGTGATGTTTTTGGCCTCTTCTCGGGCTCGGAGTCTTCGATCGACCTTGTCCAACTCCAGCAACCAGATGGCAGGAACGACACTGGACAAATATAGGAAGACGCTGGGACAGAACCTGTCTCAAACAGACGAATACATCAGATTGGCAGTTCATCTTATGAACCTGTTACAAGCACAGCAGAACGAATACAACATTACGACAATAAAATAAGACGTTCTGTGTGTGGACTTGTCACTATTAACCTCAACAACAGAAGCTGGATATAATAAAATGCAGAACAGAGATAATAAGAGAATTATTCGTTTCCGTACGTGTTTCAAAACGATTGTTATAACATCATAATGATTGCGACTTATAATAATCGATTGACACTTCGAGTAACAGACGAAGCACGTTGCGAGCCAATAAAAAAACAAGCGAAATGCGCTATGGCGTGCTGGAAGGAGGGGGAACTCAGGCCCCGAATCTCAGAGGACTTCCTTCAGTTTTATGGCAAAATTAACTGGAAATATAATAAAAATGTTGTCAACACACATTGGAAATATCAATCATAGAAATCTGGAGAAAAAGAAACACAGACACACGAATGAATGTTGAAGGAGGGGAACTATCGTGGTAAGATGGCTTCAAGATTGTTTATAATTCTTTTGAAATTTAAATTATTCATAACGAATGTGCCAACGCGTATGTTGTATTTACTCCTATAAAAATTAATGCAATAGACGACATCTAAAATCTTTGAAACTACCTTTGTTCCAATTTCGTACTTTTATGGCAATTACAGCTATAAACGGGATGTTATCTTGACGCAAAATATCTGGGAACCTGAGCTATGTCATAGTAAGAGGGATAGGGAGGATAATAAGGGCAAGGGGAGAATAAGACGCCTTATGTGCTATCATTTTACTAGCGTATTTATGACGGTCAACGAATCTCGAAGATATCTTGCGACAACTGTATTTTTGAGTTATTCTGAAAGACCATGTACCACGTGGAAATGCTGTCTGTGTTTGGGATGGTCACCGCGGTGACAGGTGGGCTCTGACCCTTGGCGTCGAGGGGATCTTTATGACCACCAGAGAGAGTTTTCTCCAAACGCTTGTTTAATATAATTGGATAATCGACAAGAGTATATATGAAGTTGAAGGACAAGCCCCTTATTTTATGCAAAGTGAAGGAAAATATGGCTGACAATCATTTATACTATTCAATTGTATGACGTGGAAATTTGGGTTTATGACAGGGGTGTACATAACAATGTAATTTGTTTCCAGCTTATTATTACAAAGAGAATAACGCATTTGTCCACATATCGTCGTATACCAAATTCTTACCACGGATAACCGACTCATTTCCAAGTAATTTACGAGTAGATTTTTTTTTGCACAAATTAATTTTATTATATATCAGATTTCAATACACACCCCATTTCTTGGCTTAAGCGATCTGTTGACTCATTGGTAGATGCTAATGTTTCGGAGAAATGTATCGTCTCCAACTCTGAACATCGAAACAACATATTTCACCTAAACATTGACAACTACTGACGAATCTATAAACGTCGCCAAAAACAACATCGTGACGAATTATAATTTTTTTTGACTTTACATGGGCATAGTATTTTATTTTATAAACCTTTTTCTATTTATCTATTTCAGCCTGGACATTGTAAGCGTTTAGTAGGCTTTTCAATGGTTATCCAGGTTTCTGTCTTCGACAGGGCTGTAGGCAACAAATGTGTAATGTTTTTAATTATTCTAACATTAAGATTTCTGTCTTCTGGGTTGTTGCGCTGTGTAGTCTGGTCGATGTTAACCAACGTTTCAGAGGTCATACTGCCTCCATCATCAGGGCGATGAGTATGAAGATTTCTGTCTTCTGG